CTGAAGTCCAGGGTCCATATTCTGCTGCTCTCCTTTCTTCCTTGTGTCAATGATCCCGGCTCTCTCGTGCCAGGGCCGCCCATCAGCCTCGCTGCCTGCAGGCCGTGGAAGCGGCTGCCGAGACCCTGAGGGGATGACGGGCATGGGCATGGGACAGGGCGTGGGATGATGGTTCTCCGCCATGCAGCACCACTTGCTGCCTGCCTGTCTCCCTGCCCGTCCACGCCCTGCAAGCCTCACCTCTCCACTGCCTGGAACTCACAGCGAGCCAACCCGTCCCAGCCGCCAGTACCAGCAGGGCCGTCGGGGAACAGCAGGTAGGGAAGGAGCGAGAGTTACGGGTTGTATTGCCCTCTGCCCCGCTCCCTGGCCCCCCTGAGCCGTATCTGCCAGAGATACTAGTCCAAGCGCAGGGCACTTTGAGCCCTTCTGGGCTGAGACCCGTGCCCCCCTCTCCCAGGGATTCACTCAGGCTTGGCAAGGCCAGGATGCCCACTCCAAACCCCAGCCTGGCAGCGAGAGGCTGGATCCACAACCCTAGAGACAGGAGGCCTCTCCCATCCCACCGAGCAGCTCCAGCATGGGCAGCGGCAGCGCCAGCTTCCCCCCAGCGCTACCCTGCCAAGGTGCCCGCCCCCTGAGCTGGATGGGCCAAGCCCCGTGGGCTCGGAGCGGGGGCGTGAGAGCTCAAACAATACAGTGACGAGGGTCCATAAAGAATGGAGTCAGACTCCTACAACCCCCTTTTATCGTTATCCTCATGTTTGCACTTCCCTGCAAGACCCCCTCTCTCCGCAGGTCACATCCGTGGAGACCTGCAGGGGACGCTGATGCTAGACCTCCGTGGTATAAAGGGGAGTTCTAGGAGGGACCCTTTGCCTCTGGAATGTGCCCCCTCCCCAAACAATCCGGCAAGAGTGCCCCCCCGCCGCCAGTTGGTGAGCGGCAAGGGCTGATGGCCCAGATGGCTGCTGGGTCTCACCCGATGGGGTGAGCGTGTCAAACTGGGGGATAGCTTTGTCCTAGCCTTGCTGTGTAACCAGCGTATGCCGTGGACCTGGTTCCATCGCTTCCATCAATGATGTTGAGCTACTGTGTTTTTAATCTCAAGACAGGCGTCTCTTGTTTATAAATCTAAATCGCTCCCCGCGCTTATTTCTGAGCACACAGATGTAGCTGGAAGACCAGAGGGCCCTATCGCCACCTCCTCCACCCGGCCCCCGTTTGTCTGCCTCATCCACCTATCTGACCCCCGAGATCGTGAGCTCTCTGGGGAAGCGACTGCCTTCTTTATGACTTGTCTGCACAGTGCCTGGCACATCAGGGGCTCCCGTAGGGGCCGGGGCAATATAATAATATGTTATAACAATGACCTGTGTCCGGAGGTTTGTGGGCCTGGTGGGGACCAGCCCAGGTACCCTCCATGCTGTCCTCTCGGCGGACATTGAAATTGTCGTAGGAGTCCCATCGGATGAGGGGGTCCGAGGTGTTGTAATCCACGGAGACGCTGGGGCCGTTCTCCAGATGTTCCATCCCTGGGGGCAGGCGGAGTTGAGTCAGTAAAGGAGGCCGAAGCCACACACGGGTCTGGTGCGTTGGAATGTCAAGGGGAGAGATGGGAGCAGGCCGGGCAGGATTGGGGGGGCGGGGAGAGACGGGAGAAGCTGGGTTATTAGAAAGAGACACGAAGTGAAAGGAAAGAGGGAGAAAGGCAGGACAAAAGGAAGAGGAAAGGAATCAGCTTCTGGAGATGGGAAAGACTCATCACAGGACCTAGTGCATCTCTCTGCCAACCCCAGGCTGTTCCAATCGGTCATTCACCAGGGGTTAGTTATCCTGCCTGATGCGGGACTCCCAGCGCTTCCCAGCGCTGGGCATCCTGTGAACTAGCAGATCTAACTGTCGGGAAGCTCTTCCTGATCAAACAGACAGACGGACAAAGGGGCATATATGGGGGCAGACAGAGGGGCGTGTCTGAGGATGGACAGAAAGCAGCAAATGGGGCAGACACAGGGGCATGTTTGGGGATGGACAGTGACAGAAGGGCATGTATAGAGATGCACAGACTGAGGGGGTACTGTAACGGGGGGCTTGCTCTGGGGCTAAACCAACCCTGGTTACAGGATGAACCTCACGGTCATCTGGTGATGATAACACTCTTTCCATGCCCATTAGTATCGCTGGAGGATGCAAAACAGGAACTACTAAAGTTGGACTTTTCAAATCAGAGGTCCAGATAATTTGCATCCAAGAGTTTTAAAAGAGCTGGCTGAGGAGGTTGCTGGACCATTCATGTTGATTTTCAGTATGTCTTGGAGCACTGGGGAAGTTCCAGAAGACCGGAAGGAAGCTAATGTTGTGCCAATTTTTAAAAAAGGGTAAATGGGATGACCCGGTAATTATAAGCCAGTCAGTCTGACATCAATCCCTGGCACGATAATGGAGCGGCTGCTATGGGACTCAATTAACAATGAACTAAAGGAGGGTAATGTAATCAATGCAAATCAACATGGGTTTATGGAAAATAGATCCTATCAAATTAACTTGGTAACTTTATTTGATGAGATTACAAGTTTGGTTGATAAAGGTATATATCATAATATAGAGACTTCTGTAAGGCACTTGATTTGGTACTGAACAACAGTTTGATTAAAAAACTGGAACAATATAAAATTCACTTGGGACACATTAAATGGATTAAAAACTGGCTAACTGATAGGTCTCAAAATGTAACTGTAAACGGGGAGTCATCATTCCAAGAGGTGTGTTTCTAGGGAGGTCTGCAGGGATTGGTTCTTGGCCCTACGCTATTTACCATCATTATCAATGACCTGAAATCATCACTGATAAAGTTTGCAGATGACGCAAAAATTGGGGGAGGGGTAAATAAGGACGAGGACAGATCACTGATCCAGAGTGGTCCAGATTGCTTGATAAACTGGGCTCAAGCAAACACTATGTGTTTTAATACAGCTAATTGTAAATTATGCATCCGAAGAAGTGGGCTGTAGTCCACGAAAGCTTATGCTCTAATAAATTTGTTAGTCTCTAAGGTGCCACAAGTCCTCCTGTTCTTCTTTTTGCGGATACAGACTAACACGGCTGCTACTCTGAAACCTAATTGTAAACGTATCCCTCTAGGAACAAAGAGCGCAGCGTGTGCTCACAGGATGGGGGAGCTCTATCGTGGGAAGCAGTGACTCTGAACAAGATTTGGGGTCATGGCGGGTAATCAACTCAACATTAGCTCCCAATGTGACGCTGGGGCCAAAAGCGCTAATGCGATCCTGGGATGCATCAACAGGGGGATTATTTTATTCTGGATTGGGCACTGGTGCGACCGCTGCTGGAATCCCGTGTCCAGTTCTGGTGCCCACAGTTCAAGGAGGATGTTGATAAATTGGGGAGGGGTCGGAAAAGCGCCACACGAGTACCACTAAAGGACTAGAAAACCTGCCTTATAATGACAGACTCAAAGACCTCAGTCTATTTATCTTAACAAAGAGACGGTTAAGGGGTGTCTGGATCTGTCTTTAAGCACCTACCCAGGGAACAAATATTTGATAAGGGGTCCTCAGTCTAGCAGAAGAAGGTCTAACACGATCCAGTGGCTGGAAGTCGAAGATAGACAAATTCACACTGGAAATGAGGCGTAACTGTTGGAGTTATTCGCCCTTGGGACAATTTACCAGGGCTCGTGGTCAGCTCTCCATCACCAACAATTTTTCAATCCAGATTGGATTTTTTTTTCCCCAGAAGACCTTCTCTGGGAATTGTTTTGGGGCAGCTCTGTGGCCAGGGGGGTCAGATTAGATGGTGCCAATGGTCCCTTGGCCTTGGACTCTAAGAACCTATGAACCAGGTATAAAAGGAGCCAGGTTAAGCGCCGAGAAGGTCCAGCTGGAGAAAGAGCTGGAGGGAAGAGACTGCAGGGCCCTGACTCACAGAGGAGAGCAGAGCAGGAAAGGAGGCTAAGAGCAGGGAGAGAGGGAGGAAAGCTCTCAGGCAGGGGGCCTGGGAGAGACCCTGACTAGCCAGGGAAGAGACTGGGAAACCCAGAGGGGCCCTAAAGAGGCAGGGTAGGAAGTTTCCCAGGGAAAACTGCAATAGGGGGAAAGGGTCCAGCCCAGGTGTGCAGTACAGGGCTGAGGCTGGGACCCAGTTCCCCTACCGGCCCCAAGGAGGGGGCCTACAAGCCCATCCCAAGGGTATGGAGCCCCGCGAGGGGGCAGCAGACTGAACCGAACACTGGCTGAACAAAAGCCCCAGAGAGGCCGGAAGGTTTTTGCTTCTGTTCAGGACATTTTGGACTTTTAATTGGGACCCCGGAATGGGGGGGGGGGAGCGAGTCACCTGACAGAGAAACCACCACAGCGCGGCAGCGACCGCCCCCGGGGGCCCTAGCCCAGTGAGGAGCTGCTGCGCTGCCCCTGGCCACGAGGGGGTGCTATGTGTGATTGGACTGGCCGGATAACTGGGATTCTGAGAGTCCCAGTTCCCTAGTGACACCCCCACGCCCCCTGTGCGCCTGCCGGGAGTTTTGGTCTCAGTGGGGAGCGGGGCCTGGCCCGGCATCACACTGGTGAGGTCAGCCCGGCTGCTGCGCTGGCCTGGCCGTACGCTCCATGCCTCGGGACCAGCAGCTCCCTGTGTGTCCTGCCCAGATAGGGCTCCGGCCTCCGTGAAGGTGGAGGAGGGGATGGGGGCTGCTCCCCTGCCCGGACAGGTCACCACGAGGACGTCTCATTCCAAGTGAGACCGTATTACTGAGCAGTACGAGACTGGCACCGCACATGGGGCATGCGCCGTGCCTGGCAGCAGGGCCCCTCCGCCCACGCTCACCCACAGCAAGGAGCTGCCCAGTGCCAGTGGGGTGCTGGCACAGGGGCGGGGGGATGGAGGAAGGGGAAGGGCGGGGGCTGAAGCGGACGGGAGCAGAGGTGGCAGGCACAGGAAGGAGTGGGTAGGGGGAGCAAGGGGCTCAGGGATTAGTAGCTTTGGGCTGTAGTGCCCCCATGCAGAGGGGCCGCCGGCCGTACCTTGGATCTTCTCGGGGCCGTACGAGAACACAAACTCCACCTTCCCGTACTCTGGAAACCGGTCGTCTAGGATGGAAACAGAACACAGGAAACTCAGCGTGTGTCCAAGCTCCCGCACCGCACTAAAGCAGGGGGGGTCCAGAAGTCGCTCACCAACGGGCAGGGCCATGGGCAACCCTTTGCTGTTTCCACCCTGAGAGCTTAGCCTGGGTAAAATGTCAGACTCCCAACTATGGAGACAGAGCCCCCCGTTCGTCAAACATAAAAACATCAGAACAGGAGAACGGCCAGACTGGGTCAGACCAAAGGTCCATCTAGCCCAGTATCCTGTCTTCCGACAGTGACCAATGCCAGGTGCCCCAGAGGGAATGAACCGAACTGGCAATCACCAAGTGATCTATCCCCTGCCGCCCAGGGTCTTGAGCCTATAAAGCATTCAACCGCCGCTGAACCACAATCGCCAGTGTGCATTCTGCCTCCATGGCCATTCAGCTCTTAGCCTCCCTGCTGGGGTCAACCACACAGGGCCAATCAGTGCCGGTTTAGTGACACGGCTGCATCTCAACTAGGAAATGGACTGAGGCCCATGACACCATTTCACAGGGGATGGCAGCCCCCTCCAGTCATGGACTCCATAGAGATGGAGGACCCCATACGCCATCAACAAACCGCCAAGAAAGGTGTCCACTGCCACTCAACATGGGGGTGGCCCCATCTGCCTTCTACACCGTGCTCAACACCAGAACATCTGAGCAACCTTCTCCACCCATCTGTCAGTCGCTGCTGTAACGGGGCGTCCTTCCCGCTGGGGGTGGCTCGAGACACGCCTCCGATGGAAATAACGAGTGATCCTTGGCCACCAGCTGCAGTACGTGGCTTCCTTCCTTCGCTCTCCAATTCAATCAACTCTGGAGACTTAAAACCGGCGAAGGTGGGGGCTCTATGCAGGGGAACCTGAGCCTGCTTCGGGGCCAAAGGGTAATTACAGTAAGAAATACATCCTCCGCGTGTCACTTCATCAAAAGTACTTTCGCTTGGTCTAGAGTCTGACACTCGTGCAGGCTGTAAAAATGTCATGGCGTCCATGCGGGAGTGACTAATATTGTTCCAGGGCGTAGGTCAACGGCTGCTGGCATAGCCCCCGCATGCAATGCGTCACCTTGGGTATTCCCGCAGTGTCCCGTTTCACATCCCCACATCTCTGGGGCACGGTTGTAAATTACTCGCTGAATGAAGCAGACCTGTGTCCCAGGGCGGGCTGCTGGAGCTAGGGGACACCTTTGGACCAGAAGACAGAGTAACAGCATGTGTTACAGGACCAGCCGGCAAGTGAACACTGGCTCGAGTGGCACGGGCATGACCCATGAGAGATGCCGGGGGGCCACCACCCCCAGCGAGTTCAAACCCAAGGTGCAGCTTGGGGAAGACGACTTGGCGAGCAGGCACATCACTGGCCACACATGCAGATTGCAGGCAAACCCACCCAGCCTGAGGAGCGAGGAGGAGACCTTCAACCTGCACTGGGGATGAAAGCAGTCGGTAGGGAGGGAGAAATCCCAGGTCTTTCCCCCGCAGTGATGTGGGCGGAGAAACAGAGCAACACCAGCAGGTCAGTGATCTGCAGAGGAGGAGAGAAGACATAGGGCTGGCTGGACAGGAGCAGTGCAGAAGAGGCCTTCGCCCTGCGGTAGGGCAGGGACCTGGAGATGAGGCCGGAGGGAAGCAGCAGCGTTTCAGGCAGAGAGCCGGTCAGGAAATCATTCTTTTTCTTCCGTAAAATTTCAACAAAGGGGGGTGGGAAGGATCCATTTTGTTGCAATTTCTCGTTGAATTTTTTTTTTTTTGCATTTTCATCAAAAATGGAATTTTTCCCCCTAAAATTTCCCTTTCACCAAAAAGCTATTTTTAATTGAAAAGTGTGTTTCGATAAAAGATTTCCAACCAGATTTGTGCACGAGGCCTCCAATAGGGCTAAAAGGGGCTGATAACGGTGGACGGGTGGCTCGGAATGGATGGGTGGCTGTAGAAAACTGCAAGTTCTGTTGTCAGGAAATTTTGATTTTTCTGGGCTGTAGACCAACCAGCTTCAGCTTGACGGGTGGCAGGAATCCCGGCAGGACCGAGAGGAGATGATACAGAGGAATGACCAGGGGCAGAGCTGAAAGGACCTTCACCCAACAGCAGCCTATGGAGGGATGAACAGACTGACTGACCCAATGAATTATCAGTGGGGACCACTTAGGATACACAGTGCTGCTGGCGGCAAGAAAATCACCATCTGCTCTCCAGGTATTGTGTGTTTCTTGACAATGTTCAGCTCCGTGTGGACACACGGACGTGGAGGGTAGGATGCAGATATGAAAACGCCTAGTAGGGCCTAGCGGGCAGGTTTGCATCAAGCACAAAGCTCCCGTCTCAGGCTGGTACCCACGGGTAGCTGGACGAGATGTCGAGAGCAACTTCCCAACGAGCTGAGCTTGGCAGAGATTCCTTACAGCTGCCCTAGATGGGAGCAGGTGTGAACCTCCATGCGCATTGCTCCAGGGTACGTCTATCGGTGGGACATTCCCAACCTCCGGTGCTCAGACGCCACGTAAGAGCCTAGGTAGGCAGGCAGACCACGAATGAGCTAATCAGATCTCACAAGTGAAGCGGGGTAGGACTGGAGAGGCCAAAGACAACTCAGATTCGGAGGATGTGGCACTGGTGCTGCCCTTTCCACTGTACTGGCACTGGATCAATGCGCTACCATGGTGTTGGGAAGTGCTGTGCGACCATCTTAGATAAGAGGCAAAACCAAAGAGGTCATTACTGATCCCATTGCACTTTTAATGTGGAGAAAAGGGGTCACCCCAGGTGGACTGAACCCGGGTCACAGCTAGATGTGCTAGAGAGAGAGAAACAGAGACAGTTTGGGAAGCATCCTGGGATCCTGATATTCCAAGTCCTCTGAAAATTACCAAAGTCCCGCAGTCTGGGGCTGATATATCTATATTCCCAGACACCCTGGTGATGGGAGCTGTATCAGAACCGCAATGGAGCAGAACTGTGAAAACCAAGCCAGCAAAGTAACTCATCAATGAACCCCCCCCCAAACCGCGAGCGGCACAAGATTCCCCCGTCCAGGCTGGGTCCCACATCCCTCTCCCCGCCTGGCAAGAACGACGCAATCACCTTTAAAGGCTTCGTCCAGGTCCTCCTTCCCAAAGACAATGCCGAGGTCATGGATGGCGCAGGTGTGGAACTGCACCCGGAAAATGACGTCTCGGGTCGGGCTGCGGAACTTCTTGTGGTAGCATTTCAGCTGCCCGGGAGAAGGGAAGAGGTGTCAGCCTCTCCACAACCCGACCAGCGAGCCCTGGGCAATGCCGGCTCTCAGTCTCGCCGCCTCTCCTTATCTAGCTGGCCTAGCGGGAGCGGTTTCTCTCCTCTCTTCCCAGCTGTCGCGCACCCTGATATTCGGGTAACTGGCGGGTCTGCAACAGGGCAGACCGGACGGCTCCTGCAGTGACTTCCGGGGCCAGGCAGCGTGGAGATGGCTTTGATGCCATGTGAGCATGTGGCCATTGCAAGGCACCAGTTCACCCCGTTGCACCAAGATGCAAAGCTGGGAACCCTTCCCCATCACCTGCAGAACGGCGGGGTGGGCTCTGGCCGCTCCCCCGAGAGCTCAGCCTCGCACAGAGCTCGAGCTGGGGTCTCCCTACCCATACGGACTATCCTCCACCTTCCCCCACGGGCTGTTTCTTCTCCCCCGGCAGCCCCCTCCTGCCTCTCCCAGGCTATCCCCAGTGGGCCCACTGCCCCTGCCGGAGGGGAGGTTCAGGGCAGACTGCTATTGAAGCTCGAAAGGCCACGTCGGCCTCTTACCAGGATATCTCCCTTCAGGAGCAGTCCGGGCTCGATGGTGATGCAGATGCTGGTCTGGCTGTCTCCTTGCACGTTGCTGCGGAGAGAGAGAAATCACTCAGTCTGGGTGCACGAGCCCAAGGGCTCCAGCAGCCAAGGGGCAGGCAATCTCCCGCAGCTCCGGGGGTGGGCATGGAGAGAAACCCTAGCGAGGCGGGTGCTTTCCCCAGCTCACCCGAGGCCTGGCTGGAAACGCCAGGAGAAAAGGCTCCATCACGTAGTTTCTGCTGTTTCCAGCTGCCCCCCAGGCCAGGAAAATTACCACGGTCTTTGTACACATTTCCGCGGCGCCTGGAGGCGCCACCCGGGATCGGGTGCTGTACAGATACACAGCCAGGGCCAGTCCCTGCCCCGAAGAGCTCACGGGAGAAATAGGCAGGCGGGGAAATGAGACAGGAACAGACCCCAGGCCTCCCGCAGTACCACCCAGTGTGCTCCCTGCTACACCCCCCCAACCCCGGTCAGGTGCAGCCCAGCTGCTGGGCTTTTAACCCGGAGACGGACCCAGGAGGGGCAGAGAAATTACCCAAATGAACGGGGACGGTGGAGAAAAAGCCATGGCAACCCCGATGCCAGTTGGGGGACGGGGTGAGGACTCGGGGCTTGAATGGGGGGGCAGTGAGGCGCCTGGATCCTGCGCAGCAGATCCTAGCACAGCCGGCTCGGGCCAGCAGGAATTTCTCTGGGCTAGTCACTCAGCTCCCATATTCCCAGAGGAATTCTTGCATCACTGAGCTGGGAACGGGGCTTGAAATCAGCCCATCGGCGCGCCAGCATTGCTGACCGTGTCAGCCCAGCCGGCACGGGGGAGCTCACAAGGATCATGCCAGGGACAGCGGTCGTTTTTGTATAGGTCCTACGAAAAACACTGGCTACTGGATTTGCCCTTTTGCAGCCTTTTTTAAAGTCGATCGTTAGAGTCCGGAGCACATTTTACAGCTGATTATAATATACAGTTGGTCGCTGCTGGGGTCTAAACTATTTGACAGCGTCCCCGGAAAACCAAAGAGAAGCAGCAAAACTCCATTCCCGTCTCTCCCAGTGGGCCCTGACCCAACGATCAGCATTTATACAGGAGCAGTGCCCTACTGGGACATCAGACGACTCTTTAGTCTAGTGGTTAGAGCAGGATACGACCCAGGGTACTTAGCACCCCACAGCTCTGCCCCTAATTATCTATGGGGCTCTGGGCCTGTCACTTCCACCCCCTTTGTTCAGCAATCTCCTCACTTGCCCCGCACCAGCCCGCCCAGTGGATGTGATGGTCCATGGGAGTTAATCCAAGTGGCCTTAGGAGCTCAGCTTTCACGGGTGAGATGAACGTGGGGTTTATTAACAGCTTCCCATAGACAGGCTATTAAAAGCTGAAAGGTACAACTGGGCCTGTGGTAAATGTCATTGAAGAGGTGGCATCAGGCCTGGTTGGAAACAGGCGTGTCCTGTATGGGCAGGTCACATATTAGGGAGCGGGGGGTGCAGTCGGACAGGCCAAGGGGACAAGGGAAGAAAAGAGACAAGCGTTTTTCCACGCACCCTTGTCTGCGACGGTGTTCACAGAGGGTGTGTCTACACTGCTTTGCAAACTGACGTCGGGGGGACCCGGGATTGTGGACTCGGTGGTTCCATGTCCACACTGCCTTGTAAACCTGGATTTACAACTGCTGGCCCCAGCTCTCACTGCCGTGCTGACCCACCCCCTAGCAGGGTCCTAAGACCCAGGTCCTCAGTGCTTGCTGACCTGAGTCAGCCTGATACGCGTGCGGACGGAAGAGGGGCTTGGGTTCAAACCTGAGTGAGAGCCCAGGCTTGGAGCGCAGTGTAGACATACCCAGGGTGTCCACCAGGGCACATACACCCCACCCCACCGCCTAGCTTCAAATTAGCATATGGAAGCCAAACTGTCCACTCCCCGCTGCACACATCAGCACTGGGGCCAGGCAGGCGCCGGGTGAGACAATTCAATGGGGGCAGGGTCGGAAGGTGGGGCTGGGGGAGCCGGGCTGGGAGCTAACCCCATCTTTGGCCCAGCCTCGATGTGGCGTTGAGTGGCTGGAGGTAGCAGGTGGGTGCCGTTCTATGCTTGCGCTCCCCACCCCCCACTCCTGCCCAGATCCGCTTTCCTGGGAGGCGGAAGGCCCGAAATACGGGGAGGGAGATGCCATGAGGGAGCCCATTCGCGACACTCCCAGCCCCATTCCTCAGCCCAAGAGGTTGGGAGACGCACAAAGTGCTTTGAGATCCCCAACGAGCACGAACGATGTTACATCCCTGCTTCCCAGCCACTGTCCCGTGTCCCAGCACTGCAGCTGCCCGTGCGACCACTGCTCTGGCCTTCCCCTCTCTCCCTTAGGGTAGGATCCACCAGCGGGCAGCCTGGGCACCATCGAAGTCCCCCATGGAGCCCTCCGGGCCTTGCGCTGCCTGGCCGCACAGGAGGGAACTTCCCCCTGAGCGCATCGTCTGTCTCCCAATCGACTGGGCCTCGCTCGCACGCCCTGGGGCAGGGGCTCCGAGCACACCGGAAGGGGAGGGCAGTTTTTAGGTCAGATGCGCTGATCCACCAGTGCCGCCGGGATCCTTCGGAGCAGGTCAGCCGCGTGTCGGGGGTGAGTCTACACGGCATGAGTCCGGAGCAGGTCTGGAGCTTCCCAGGGAAGATTTCTCCTGGCCCGGCCTCATGGGTGGCGCATAATGGAGGCAGGGGGAGGCTAAGCCTCCCCTAACCTCATGTCGCTGCGGGGTGGGGAGGACGATGGTGGATTTGGGACCCCTGGAAAAATCTCCCCCCACCGCAGCCCTGGGTTCGCCATGGTGACACAGAGCTTTTCCGGATTCGGGGCCACTGTGGGGGGCACAGACCGGGGGCGGGGCGAGGTCTCAGGGGGGAAGAGGTGGAGTGAGGGCAGAACGGGGCGGGGCCCACACAGGGGAAGGGGCAGAATGGGGTAGGGGCTCCGGCCTCAGAGCTCTCAGCCCACCTCCCCCTGCCCCATAGCTCCGACCGAGGTCTCAGCCCCCTGCCTGGCCCGACCTGGAGCACTGCAAACTCCATAGCAAGTTCGAGTGAGGCCAGACGGATAGGAAGGGACGGTCACTTCCTGGACTGCCCGAGATCTCAGCCGAGTGCTCGGAACAGGCTGGGAACAACGTGCCAGAGGGAACCAGACTCTGTGTGGCCAACATGAACCAGAAGCGCAAAGTGCAGCTTGTTTCTACTCCGAACTCTCCCCTTCCCCGACAGGACCCCGCCGTGTTTCACACCAACACCCGAGCTCGTCGGAGTCCGAGATGCAGAAGGCCCATTGGGTCACCCGGGACCAGCTCTCGGATAGGAGACAGTCACAAGAACCGGAAGGAAGGGCCTGGAGGGAGAGAGAGGAACCCGAGAGAGAGGTGATATTTACTAGATCCCGGACGTGTACACCGGCTGCATGGCCTGGTAGATCTTCAGGAAGGGCCGGCAACCTAGAAGACACCGATCAGAAATGGAGAGAAGGAGCATTCGTTAGCCAAGGGGCTTAGTCACTGGGAAGGAAAACAAAGAGCCCAGCCATGGCGGAGGGGGCCAGGAGGCTGGGGACCTTTCCCTAGCCTGCCTGCTTCTCGCAGCGCCCTCCCCAGGCCTGAACAACAGACGTCCCAGACACGTGGAGGTGGGAGCAGAGAGGCCCCTATTCTTCGTCCGCCCTTCCTCCTGGCAGACCTACGTGAGACGCGTCAGGCTGCCCGGCCAACGGCCAGCCCTTGGGGTCCAGAGCCCCTGACAACTAGCAGTGAAGAGAACTCGGTGCTCCAGCCCCTGCTGATGACAACAGAGGGGAGCCCATGCAGCTTGCGGGCTGGTGCCCCAGAGGATGGGAACCCCCCTGCTTGGCGGCGGTGTGTCGGGGTGCCAGCAAACCCCCGGAGTTAGGGCCACCGCTGAGTTCCCACAATAAGCCCAACTGTGGCTCCATTCTGGAATCCACCAGAAACGGCCACGCAGCAGATCTACAAGCCATTGGCACAGATGCTCTGTCTACACTAGGGCTCCCACTACTGCCATCCCCAGCAGAGCTGCATGGTGGCTAGCGACTGCGTGATCGCCCTTCCCTCCACCTGCTCTAGGCGGTGTGCCCCAGGGGGCCAGGGCATGGGGCAGGATGCTCTCAGGCACCCCAGACCCTCACCAGGGCAGGTGGAGAGTCCGGAGCTCCCCACAAAGGCCTGGGCTCCCTGGGCAGCTCATACCATGGCCCGGCTCCAGCTTCTGGCCTGGCCAGGGGGCGCATCTTCCTTGTAGGGAATAAACACCCCACCAAAGCAGCTCCCCCAGCCAAGAGCCATTGTGAAAGACACAGCATTGGGGCTGCGGCTGCAAACCCGGCCGGCAGGAAGCTACCCACGGCAGCCCCTGGCTCCCACGCAGCATCTCGTCTCACTTGCACGTACCCAACCTTTCTGAAACGCTGGGGGGTTTACCCACCCCTGGGCCCCCTACCCCTCATGCAGCTTCTGTGCCCCTGGAAAGTAGAGTCGCGTTGGGGGGCAGCAAACAGCCCTCCCGTGCCGGAGCCGGGGGGGACACTTACCGCCTTTGGACTCGAAGTTGGGGATCCCGTGCATGATGACATGGTGCAGGAACAAGGGCTTGTTGTTCATTTTGATCGTGCCGGACAGCAGGCCGCTGAAGTAATGGACATACCTGGGGCAGAAACCAGCGTGGGGTCAGGAGGTTAGTGGTGTCTGTTAGCACGGCCCGTTCAAGCTGCTTTGGTCTCCTCGCTGCAGAAGGGGGCTGGGCACCCGCCCCCTATTCCCTCTGCTCCTTTCCTTCCGCCCGGGTACCCCACTCAGTAGCCCTACCCGTCTGTAAACTAACCCTTCGGCTAAGCTGCCGGCTTCGGAAGCCATTCCAAATGTGCCCCAGAATCCTTTGCTCCAAAGGCGACACCCTGGCAGCTGACACCCTGGGATCCAGGCTGAGACTCAAAGGCGCTGGCTGAGCAGAAACAGGGTGGCCAGAAATTTCACAGCCAGGGAGGAGGGTTTCAGGACTGGCTAGAAGGCCCAAGGGGTCTCAAACCTGGGCCTTCAAAGCTGCCAAGCAGCAGACATCTCCACAACCAGCTCATGTTACACTACCCACAACCCACTGAGGACACAGACCACAGGAAGTCCCGCCTCAAGGGCTCTGACAGGCAGCAGCCTCATGGCTGCTGATTGGCTCCCTGCCCTATATAAATAAACCCACGGAGCATTCCAGGAAGCGTCCAGACAACAGCGCCCCTCTCCTGTAGCTGCCACCGCCATTCCTGCTCCGTTCTTGAACTCCTCTCAACCTCACCTTGATTTGGATGTCGCCTCCTAACCCGGACCCTGTAACCTGACTCGGACTCTGATCCGTGAACTTGGCCCCGACCTGGAACTTGACTATATGCCTGCATCTATCTTATTCTCAATCCCATTCCTCATGGCCCCTGACATTCTGTTCACTTTTTTGACTGTCGCTGCAGATTGAGTGGATGTTTTCAGAGAATCATCCACAATGACTCCAAGATCTTTCTTGAGTAGTTACAGCCAATTTAGACCCCATCACTGATTACGTTGTCCAATGTTCGTTACTTTACATTGATCATCCCTGAATTTCATCTGCCATTTTCTTGCCCACTCACGCAGTTTTGTGAGATCCCTTTGTAACTCTTCACAGTCAGCTTTGGACTTAACTATCTTAAGTAGTTTTGTATCATCTGCAGACTTTGCCACTTCACCGTTTACCCCTTTTTCCAGATCATTTGCGAATATGGACTGTAATATTCACTCCATGCATCTGAAGAAGTGGCGTTTTTTACCCATGAAAGCGTATGCCCAAATAAATCTGTTAGTCTTTAAGGTGCCATTGGACGCCTCGTTGTTTTTGTGGATACAGACTAACACAGCTACCCCTCTGATAAGATAGAAGATATCATAATGCCGCTATCTAAATCCATGTTACATCCCCACCTTGAATGCTGTGTGCAGTTCTGGTTACCCCCAGTCCAGCTGGCCCTCGCGACCTACCCACCACTGACAAAACATGAGGCTGTTGGCTGGTGGGACCACGTGTCCCCACTGAATTCACCAGAGTGGAACAGCCTGACCTGAAATGTCTGACCGGCCAAAGGAGAACAACTCCCTCTAGACTGTTAGCAGCTCAAAAGCTGGGCTTTAGTCCACTGAACGGGTCATCTCCTCCAGGCCTCCAATAGGCTCCAAACTTGACTTGCGGCGTCAGCGTCACCTGCTATGCACAGACCAGCTAACCGGGGAGACGGTGCAGACTTGCTGGCGTATGTTACTGTGCCCAGATAAGCTCGCTGAGCAGAACTCCTTCCCTCACACACAGCTCACACTAGATACGCAGGTGGGTTTGGCTCAGAGTCCCAAGCGATGTGATAAACCTAACGAGGTCCAGGTCTCACAGTGGTTCCGGGAGCGGGGCCACTCATGACATGACACAGTAACCCAGACTGGGGAAGAACGGCTCAGCTAAGAGTGCCAGGATGGGCATGCAGAAATCGAGAGAGCGAGAAAACCGTGAAACCCACAAGCTTTCAAACTGCAACGTAAGCTTCCTCCACCGACCAGCTCAGCCCAGATCCTCAAAGATATGTAAGCACCAAACTCCTGTTGCTGTCACCTTATCCCTCTGAGGACGTGGGCCCTCCACCCAAACCCTCAGCCCCCTGGCTGTTCTGGGCGCCCAGGCACTAGCGTTTGCCCTGCGCGGATCCAAGGGGTTGAGCTGGGGTTGGATTTCTCCCACCAGCCAGACCAATCTGGATTCCGATCCACGTTCACCCCTGCCCATGGGCTGCTCTGGTTTCTAGGCCAGGGTGCGAGGGCATGAGAGCGAGGGAAAGCCCAGGGGAGCACAGCTGGGGGCAGAGGCAGCGATGGGCGAGGAGACGAGCTCGAAATCTCCCTCTGGTTCTACGGATCTCCCTGCAGCACCAGGGAAATCTCCATCTCCATCTCCTTCTGCCTGCAACTCAGCCGCGCCAGCGCCTTGCAGGAATAAACAGGGACAGCGGCCTGGGCAGCGGGAGGCCTCTAGTGCCACCTAGTGGAGCAGAGGGGAATGCATGTTTGATATCGGCGAGTTCTGCAGGCTCCTTCCCCCGAACAGGGAGGCCTGGCTGGAGCACTGCCCCATTCATCTGACCTGCACCGCATATGCCAAGAAGCGGCATCCTACCCGGAGGGCTGTTGTCACTTCGATACCAGCCAGTTGCCCCGGGCCCAGCCTCCTGGCTCCCTGTGTGTGAACAAGCCCTTGCCCCCGCCTGCAGTGACGCTGCTCTCACCTCCTGCCATCGACCAGCCCTCGGAGGCAGGGCTCAATTCCAGCCCTGGCAGGAAATCGCACCCACAGCCAGGTCCCTTTCAGGACAGGAGGGGGCAGTGCCACTTGGCCTAGGTTTCTGAGCCAGCATGGTCCAGGGTGCATCAAAGGGGGCAGTTAGGAGGGCAATTCCCTCATGGGTTGTCCCATCATTGTCCACTGGGGGTGCCTTGCACCATCCTCTGAAGCCGCTGGCACCAGGCCCTGTCCGAGACAATCGGGCAGTGCCCAGTCCCTACTTGGTTCAAGGGAGAAGCAACTCAGGGCAGGTGGCAGCGCTGGCCCCGTGGCTTTCACCGGCCCGTGTAATCTGATGGGCAGCCAGCTCCTCTATTGAAGCCCTCGCGACACGCCCGGGAAGTGGAAGTCGCAGGGCCATTCCCGAGTTCCCGATCGCGCCTGCCGGATGTTGGCAGGAACAATGCCATGGGCCGACCGGACAGGGCGCGGCCCAGGAAACCCCAGACCAGAGCCCAACACCCGCTTGGTAGACGGGGCCCGATCCCGAGCCGGTGCAAACGGGCCCCGCGCAAGGCGGGGGGGGGACACTCGAACTGCACTGACGCCCGGGATCTGATTCAGCCCCTGTGTGCCTTTCTAGGGATAATGCCCTGCAGACAACGTGAGACGCAAACATGCCCTAGACCCAGAGCCGGACAAGGACAAACGCTGTTCGGAGAACGGAAGCATTTTCCTGCGTTTACTCTGCTAAGTAGATGCCGGTTTGCAGCCCGTTGAGCCCGGCCTGGTGCAGGTCACTAAGAGCCGTGGGCGTCAAAGCTCAGCGAAGAAGCTTGATTTGCAGCGCATGGCAAATCCCCTTCCGTGGGAGGCACCTTCAATTCCCAACAGCCCGGAGGGGTCCCGGGCTGGCTGCTCGCGCCTTGCCCTGTCCCTGTGGGGGCTGGAGACTTGCCCGCGGGTGGGGCATTCATTCACCCAGGTTCCTCTGGGTTGGGGACTCAGCTGAGCAAACCCCGAACTCGGCTCAGCACCATTCATCTGCCAGGCTTCGGGCAGAGCACGGTGCACGCAGAGGGTGCGTGGCAGGCCAGGCTGGTCCGCAGGAGGCTGGTCCCCAAGCCCGTGTCAGGAGAGTTCCCCCTGGGCACCGCGGCTGTGGGCCCTGAGATCCTGGCTGAGTGCAGGAGGCAGGGTGCAAAGGGCCAGCCCCTCCTCCCAGCCCCCCACACCCACTGCCTCAGCTCCTCGCTCTCGTTTGGAGTCTTGATAGTTTTCTTTCAAGCCGGGGCAGAGCCGACCCAGAACTCCAAGCCAGCACGCCATGCAGGGGGGATCAAGCCCCTGAGTCCAAGCCCAGGCCTATGGTAGGGGTCTGGAGCAGGTTCAGAGCCAGAAGGGGCCCAGTTTCTGGATCTAGACCAGGCAGCCTGCCCCTGCTTTGCACCTGCTTCCCAGCCCTCTAACCTGCCGAGGGGGGGCAGAGTTTACGCAGCTACCTCTGCTGGAGGGCCCCTTCCCCTCCCAATGTGATGCACCACACACCAGGCACACCCAGTCCTGCCACCAGGGGGCATCTTCTCCCACCTGACTCCATGGCCCCACACACCTGTCCGGGCACCATATGTCCGGTGGTTCAATTGCCACCTTTATTTCCATCTCCAAAGGCCCCAGCAAGCCGCCGACAGGCCCAGGCCAGTGCTCACAGCTCTGGCCGCCGGGGAGGGAGGCGCCGCAGGACTCACCTCTTCTGTGACGGCTGCCCGACTGGCAGCACCTTGTCCTCGTAGAACCTCTTCATGGCAAACCTGTCGAGGGCTTGGTCCGCGCTGCGGGGGGAAGGTGCACACGGTCAGACGGGCGGGGGGCGGGCTCTGGGCCGCGTGCAAGGCAGGCGGCAGTAAGGCCGAGTGCGCGGGAGGGCATGGCAAGGGGGCTCCGTCTCCCCCCCGACACGTTTAGAAACAGGAGGCGCCGGAGAGCCCACTGGGGCTATTTTGAGGCCCTTCAGTTTTACCTGAGCCAGTAAGAGGTCCCTCGGGGCTTGTTTGGGGGTCAGCGGTGACGTGCATTGGCAGGGCTACATGGAGAGCCCAGGGGTAACAGAAGCTGCTTTGGGTCCCAGCTGGGGGGGCATGGGCAGAGCTGTGTTGGCACCAAGGATGGGATTTGAATAGCAGGGGGCTGCGGGTCGGGATTGCGTTAGCATCAGCAGAGCTGTGGGGGGAGCCCAGGGCTGGGCTAGCAGGGGCTGCGGGTCGGCACTGAGGGGCACCGGCAGAGCTGGGGGGAGACCCCAGGGCAGGTCGGGACTGAGGGGTACCCCAGGCCCGGATGAGCAGGGGGTGTGGTGGGTCAGGGCTGAGGTGCCCTAGCAGCATCGTGGGGGAGGAGGGGCGTGTTTGCCTAGTGCACTTCTCCCCTGCTAAACCCAGGGTTGTGAGTTCAATCCTTGAGGGGGCCACTTAGGGATCTGGGGCAAAATCAGTCCTTGGTCCTGCTAGTGAAGGCAGGGGGCTGGACTCGATGACCTTTCAAGGTCCCTTCCAGTTCTAGGAGATAGGATATCTCCATTAAAAACAAACCCTTCACCTGCCCCGGCTCCAGAGCTCGCCCCCAACACGCGCTGCCCGGGTCCCGGCTGCTGTCTCCACAGGGCCGCACCGGATACCCCAGCTCGGGGAGGCGGCTCCAACTCGCCCTCCGGATTTACAGACACAAACCGGAGCCGGTTGGATTGACACAGACCTGGAATGGCCACTGCAGCCCCCTCTAGGCCTGGGCCCAGCCCATGATGCCCGGCCCCAGGAATCCTGCAGGCTGCAGTCCTCTAGCATCCCCCGACCCCCCACATTCTGCCCCCAAGCGAGGGGCCGCCCTGGTACTGTCAGTCCTTGGCCGCCTTTCCCTGCTGCCAGCCAGGGCGCTGGGACGGCTGGGGGAGTGGGACCCTGTTCTCCTCTCACCGGGCTGGGTTTGAAGTGCTAGTCTGGAGGCAAAGGGCCCTGCATCCCATTTGCAGCCCCCTAGCTATCCTGCCCCCCAGGAGGTGGTCCCCTCTTCTCCTCCCTCCTCGTCTGCCCCGCCCGCTGCCCTCCCAGGTGGCTGGTTCGGGTGGACGGTCCCCCCTGAGCCGGGCCTGGGAGATGCCAGGAGCCGAGAAGCTGCCAATGGTCCCCCGCAGGAGCAAGAGTGAATGGCACCAGTGCCCAGACCCCAGCCCAGAAGCGGGGGCTGGGCCAAAGGCACCATCACCGCTGCTGGGAAGGGGGAGGATGCTGAAGAGAAGCGGCGTCTTGAACTGGGCTCCAAAAAGCGGGTCCCCGGGCAGGTTATCTCCACGGGGGCACTAAGGCTTTGGGGAGAGGGTCCAGAGAAGATGCCTGGGGTGCTGCTCCAGGTGCCCCACCGCCCCGCATGCCAGGCTCCTCTCACCTGGCTGAAATGTTGCTGTAGTGCATGTAGGCGGCCACCACGACTCCCATCCGGCCTCGGTTTCCCTGCGAGAGACCAGAACAAAGAGGGCATTGGGCATCCCAGGGGGCATCCAGAGACATCCCAGAGTCCGCCAGCCAGCGGCAGGGTCCTTCGCGCAGGGCCTGATTCGACGCTCACCGAATGCAAAGACTCCCCTTGATTTCAACAGGCTTTAGAGCGGGCCTGGAGTGCTGGTAACCAGTCGCCACGATCCACCCCAGAGATGGCTGCATTTCAGCAGCCAGCAAAATGGTCACCGTATTTCCAGCCTGAAGCGCCCAGAGCGATGCGCTAGGGAAGGGAGGTGCTAGAGAATCCGTGCTGGGATCTTGGGTTTGGCCAGCCTGATGAATAACACCCCGCAGAAGCTTTGACAGGGGTAGGGGTGTCGTGCCTGGATTTGGAAGCTATTGTGTTCCTAATTCTGTATCACACACACGGACCGTGTTGTCATGCCTGACTCCCGGCGTGTTCCCCCACTCCCCTATCTACTAGACCAGAGGTGACGAGTGGGGGGCCGGGCATGCAGGGTCGCATGGCCCCGCCCCCGATTGCTCGGTCAGATGGTGCGGCTGGGCCCCCTCCCTGCGGGGCAGCTGGGAATGCCAACGGGGATGACACGTGGGATCCTGACTCAGTCGCTGCTGGGCTGAAGGACGGGGGGGGCTTCCCAGGGGGGCCCAGGGCTGGCCGTGAAGCTCTTTCCTTTGAGTCTGTGATGTTAACGGGCCACGGACCTGCCCCTGCACCCCATCTCTCCCCTTGTCCCTCGTTCAGCCCCTCCAGGAAGTGTTCCAGGCGCTCCCCGGCTCCCCCAGGCCCTGCTCCCCCTCCCAGCTGCTCTCCCATGTGTCCCTGTGCCCTGCCCCCCGAGACAGCGTCCCCCTGCTTTCCTCTCCCCGCCGGGAGCGGGGCCGCTCGGCCCAGGCCATTGGCGAACAGGCCCTGCCCCCCCGGGGGGCGCTCTCGCTCACCTTGTTGTGGAGCACGACCACGTTGTGGGGCTCGGCGCTCAGCCACGTGTCCATGGCCTTGCAGATGCTGCAGATCTTCTCCAGGGCAGGCGTGTGCAGGTCGGGCCACCCAAAATCCAGCACCTGGGATGGGCAGAGACAGGGGGAGGAGGAGGAGGCTGGAGGAGATGAAGGCTCCCCCTCTGTGGCTTTTGGTTACCAGTTGCCGTAGACGCCCAGGGCTCCTCATGCCAGCCTGGCCTCACGGGCGCTGCCGCCCGCCGGGTAACCTGCCCAGGCGGGACCCAGAGTGTGCGAACCCACTCAGGTGGCCGCTGGTTGGGAGATGCAGGAGACGCCCTTCCAGGGGCAGAACAGGTCTTTGCCTTGATGGCTTTACCCGCCCACCAGCCTGAGGGGAAGGGCACACATGGGACAGCAACGGAGGGAGGGCATGAAGCCAGCAATGGGAAGTGCTGAACCAGGACCTGGGCGGGGGGGGTGGGCTGTGTGGTGCCTGGGCGGGAAGGGGTTAATTGTGCCCAGTACCAGCCTGGCCTGCATCCCTGCACCCCTCGGCAAGGCAGGGGCATGGCACCACGGGAGGGGCTGTGTGCCACCCTGATTGATTGGAAGTGCAGGGCGCAGGGACTGGAATCATCCACAAACCCGGGGCCCCACCCTGCCAGCTCCCGTAAGGCAGGGGGCAGGGTCTCTCCCGAGGGCAGGGCTGGGGGGCTCGGCCCAGTGGGTAGGCCTGTTGGTAAGGGAGCATGGTCCAGGCCTTGGCTGCCCACTCAGACTGACCACAAAGGGAGCCAAGCTGCTGCCGACAGCAGCCTCCGGATCTGGACCACTAAGGCAGGAGGTGAAAGGGGCTGGAGCCCACTCCCAATCCCCGGCCCACCCGACTTTCCCCTCCTCCTTGGTGCTACCCAGCTGCGAAGACCCAGGCAACTCCTGGCCTGGGCCGGTTTCTCTGCTCCCCGGAGATAACCCCCAGGCCCATCCGTTCCCGCTGCCCCGGCGCTAGCGACCTGCGACTGCTCCCGCCAGCGCCTGGCACACCGCCGGGGCTTGCCGCGTGCTAGCTGTCTCTCCGGGAACGGCGCTGGGGGGGCAGGCGGGGAGATCCCGGCGCGTGCCTGGCTCCCACTCCTTGCACAGCCCATGCGGCTGCCAGAGACAGCGGGAGCAGGATGGGATTAGCGGACAAAGAAAACACATCCACGGGGCTAAGGAACACTCAGCCAGTGGGGGATCCACAGGGCTGGCAGCCCCGTCCCGACACGGGAGTCCCCTTTCCCCACTAGCAGCCCCCGACGCACCCTGCGGCTCCGGAGTCCAGGCCCCATTCTGATTCCAGCCAGCTTCCAAAGACCATCGCAGCTGGCAGCCCCCGGGCTCGGCTGGGGAGTCGCACGATGGCTCTGAGGCCGGCCCCCAGAGCCAAGACACCACGGAGAATTGCACCCGCGACACCGCAGGCTGAGAGGAGCCCGGCTCACATGGGCTCAGCTGGGCTGCCAGGAGAGGCCGTTCCTTGTCAGCGGGTCTGACCGGCGTCGGGATTCCCTGGCACTTCCGTAGCCCCAGTCACACCCGTGGGGGCGCCAGGGACCTGGGGTTCGTCACTGCAGAGATTTTCATTTAGCCAGGCGCCCCCTTCGGTTCTGGGGCTGGGGGAGGGGGAAGAGAGCTCTCTTGGTACCAAAGAGGGGCAGGCCTCATCTCCCCACCACCCCAGGGCCTCCTCTGCCCTGGGGGACCCCCTGTGGGGCTCAGAGGGGTGCTCCATTTCCATGACCCTTGGCCTCTCCTCCGGGGCTGTCCGGGACGGGGCTCTGGTGACGTGGGCCATTGGGCGCTGGACAGGGACCTGCCAAACTCAGTGCTTATGGGTGGGAACACTCCTGCCTCGTGGGGCAAAACAACGTGCCAGGGGGCACACCCAACCCCCGCTGGGCTCTGTGCACCACTGGAGGTGAGAGCAAAACACCCAGGACCCCCCTCCCCCCCCGCCAGACTCCAGCTCCTCCTGCGGCTTTTGGCCTGGGGCACATACCTCCCCTCCCCCAGCCCTCAATGGCACCCAGAGCACCCCCCATGGCCGGCCGCGCTTACCTTGGAGTGCAGCTTGCTGATGTCGTGTCTGCGCTCGGACAGATTGAAAAGCTTGGGAGAGAAGGAGAGAAGAGAGTCAGGAGAAGAGCAATGGTGGAGCAAGGACAGCGACAGCAACAGCACCCCCCGGCCACCCCACACAGACCCAGTGACAGTGCCCCCCTATCCACACCACACAGCCCCAGACCCAGACCCAGTGACAGTGCCCCCCGGCCACCCCACACAGACCCAGACCCAGACCCAGCGACAGCGCCCCCCGGCAACCCCACACAGACCCAGACCCAGTGACAGCGCCCCCCGGCCACCCCGCACAGACCCCGCCCCATCCCCAGTGACAGCGCCCCCCGGCCACCCCACACAGACCCAGACCCAGCGACAGCGCCCCCCAGCCACCCCACACAGACCCAGACCCAGCGACAGCGCCCCCCGGACACCCCACACAGACCCGGCCCCAGCCCCAGCGATAGCGCCCCCGGCCCCCCCACACAGACCCGGCCCCGGACATTCGGCAGGGTCTGAGGGAAGAAGGATGGAGTCACAGCAGCAAGATCTTGCAGCTCTTCGGTTCAGAGCAGGCAGGGCCGGCTTTAGGCCAATTCCACCAATTCCCCCGAATCGGGCCCCGCGCCTAAGAGGGCCCCGCTCCCAGTTGGCAGGGCCGCCGGGGGTGGGAGGGGGAAAGAAGTGGCCGAGAATCCCTTCCCTGGCTAGAGGCTCCTTTTTAATTTTTACTCACCCGGTGGCGCTCCGGGTCTTCGGCGGCACTTCGGCAGCGGGTCCTTCACTCGCTCCAGGTCTTCGGCAGCACTTCGGCAGCAGGTCCTTCAGTGCCGCCGAAGACCCGGAGCGAGTGAAGGACCCACCGCCGAAGACTAGAAGCACCGCCCGGTGAGTACAAGCCCCACATGTTTTTTTACGTGTTTTTTCTTTTTAGTCATCCCTGCCGGGGCCCCGTCGAAACTGTTCGAATCGGGCCCCGCACTTCCTAAAGCCGGCCCTGAGAGCAGGGTGGGATAATGCGGGGCCGGGAGCTGGGCCCTGAGGCCGTGGAGAAGGGGCAGCCAGTGGGGATTCTGTTGGTGCCCCGGGACGCTAAGAGACCGGCGCTGCCCCCCTGAACTAGCAGCACTGAGCTGCTTCACCCCAGCACGGTACCTCCCCCAGGTGTCCGCACTCATATCACGGCAACCTCCCGGACACAACTCTCCCCTCCAGCCTGCAGGGCAGATACAGCCCCCTCGTTCTGCCTGGGCGCCACACGGGGACCCCGGGGCTGGGCCTGACCCGCTGCAGGGAGCAGCGCCTGCACACCACAGAGCCATTGCTGCGGGAAGTCTCCGCTAGGCCGTTAGCCACCGGCCCAGCAAAGCGGCCACGAGTGTTATGGCTGCCTGGCCCGGGGCATCACGCAGCCGGTGATGTGACCCAGGCCGAAGCAGGGCCAGGTGCACGGAGCTACAGGGGAATCTCTGCTCCTGCATCAGAGAGGAAGTGGGGACCAGTGCCCAGCTCCAGGGTCTCTCTGTTGGGCAGGCAAAGGTGGACAGGGCTGTCACAGTCAATATATTGTTGCTGCCTAAATGCACGACCCTGAGTGACTGCCGCAAGAATGACCGAGCAGCTGGATGGCTGGGTGCATGCCACAGCCGGCGTGACCCAGGAGATCGGATTAGATCTGGGGTATCAACCAGAGCTCAGACTCCCAGAGTGGGCTCACAGACAGGGGATGCGACAACCCCGCCCTGGCGAAATGGGAGGCATGTCCCAGCAGGCCGGGAGCAGGATCCCCCTAGGAGAGAAGGCAGAGACCCCCTGGACTGGATGATCAGAACGCTCCGTTTTCACAATGGAAAGAGGCGAACAGCGGGGTCCCCCGAGGATCTGTACTGGGACCTGTGCTGCTCCACATACTCATAAATGATCTGGGAAAGGGGGCCAAGACTGAGGTGGCAAAGTTGGCAGATGATACAAAATTACTCAAGAGAGTTCAGTTCAAAGCAGATTGTGAAGAGTTACAAAGGGATCTCACGAAACTGGGTGACCGGGCAAGAAAATGGCAGATGAAATTCAGCGTTGATAAATGCAAAGTAATGCATGTTGGAAAACATAATCCTAACTATACATACAAAATGATGGGGTCTAAATTAGCTGTTACCACTCAAGAAAGAGATCTGGGAGTCATTGTGGATAGTTTTCTGAAAACATCTGCTCAATGTGCAGTGGCCGTCAAAAAAGCGAAGAGAATGTTGGGAATCATTAAGAAAGGGATAGATAAGAAGACAGAAAATATCAGAATGCCACTATGTAAATCCATGGTACGCCCACACCTTGAATGCTGCATGCAGTTCTGGTTGCCCCATCTCAAAAAAGATACATTCAAATTGGAAAAGGTAGGATTTGGAAGGGCAACAAAAATGATTGGGGGGATGGAACAGCTTCCATATGAGTGGAGATTAAAAAGACTAGGACTGTCCATCTTAGAAAAGAAACAACTAAGGGGGGATATGATAGAGGTCTATAAAATCATGACTGGTGTGGAGAAAGTGACTAGGGAAGTGTTATTTACCCCTTCACATAACACAAGAACCAGGGGTCACCCGAGGAAATTAACAGGCAGCAGGTTTAAAGCAAATAAAAGGAAATATTTCTTCACGCAACGCACAGACAACCTGTGGAACTCATTGCCAGGGGATGTTGTGAAGGTCAAAACCTTAACTGGGTTCAAAAAAGAATGAGGGAAGTTCATGGAGGACAGGTCCATCAATGGCTATTAGACAAGATGGTCAGGGACACAACCCCATGCTCTGGGTGTCCCTAAGCCTCTGACTGTCAGACACTGGGACTGGACGACAGGGGATGGGTCACTCGCTAATTGCCCTGTTCGGTTCACGCCCTCTGAAGCACCTGGCACTGGCTACTGTCAAAGACAGGATCCTGGCTAGATGGGCCATTGGTCTGATGCAGAATGGCCATTCTTATATTCTTAATGGACCCTCGTGACCATGAATGTATCGATCTCGGAACCTGGGCATCCATTTCACACCCTCCTGAGATTCCCGAGTCCCCGTCTGACCCTGGAACATGGTGCCGGGACCGTCCCCACGCTGCGGGGAGGTGGATGGCTTGGCAACCCCAGGAATTCAGGATCCCAGCCCCTACAGCTTCCTCTCCCACAGTCAGTTCCACACCCTTCCCGACACTCCTCCCCAGGCCCTCCAGCCGGCCACATGCCAATGGGGAGTGGGGCGGTGTCTCTTACCAGGTAGTTATCTCCATGCTTGGACTTGAGCATCTGGGCCACCTCCTTGAGGTTGCTGCGGAAGTTCTGCTCCTCGGCCGAGCTGGGGTACGAGACGGCGATGATCCGCTCGGTGATGTACACCAGGTCCAGCTCGCAGCTGTCCTCCATGGTCTGGGCGACGCTCACGCTCCTGGGCCAACAAGAAGCAGCCAGTTCAGGGCCCAGTAGGACGTTACGGGCCTGCCGGGCGAAGGTCTAGAGATCTGGAACCCGAACAAGATGGCGTTCCCGCAGCACCCTCCTTCGCCCGACGACTGCAAAGGGCGTTGTAAGCGGTAGGTCCTTAAGACCCGTGCGCTAATGATCATCGTCCCTGATCGACAGATGGGCTGGGCAAGGTACGGACACGGGGAGATCGAGTGGCTGGAGCGAGGACATGTCGGGACTCCCATGGCAGGTCTAGCCATGGAGTTTAGGTGTGGGGGCTACCCACCCCCTACTCTGGACACCAGCTACGTTGGCGCAGAGACGGAGCCCATTGCCGTGCCAGCCTCTGCACCCAGCCGCGTGCTCTCGGTGCAGCTGGTGGCTCTGGGTCCAAATGGCCACTGACCATAGCAGAAAGTGGCAGAGCTCCTGGAAACCGCGTCCAGAGCTAACCCTCCCAACCACCCAGCCCGACACTGGTGGGTAGTTTGTGGTGAGCAGCCTACAAGGCCCCACAGGTGAAGAGATCCTTCCTGTGCTGACCCAGGCCCCACCTTGTCCAGTCCATCCCCATCTCCAAGCGCCATTCGTTACATTCTCCCATTGTTGCCTCTTGGCAACCAGATCCGTATCTCCGGGAGCTTATCTCGGTTACACAAAATAATCAATGAAGTCCAAGTGAAGCCTGGCTGGAACGCACTCAACGGGCCTCTCTCTCTCCTGGCATCCGGCCACGGACCAAGCAAACAGGCTGTAGGGTCCTAGATAAGCCTGAGGGAGACAGCTGCCAAGGCAGCCTGCGCCCGCCTGGGGAAGCGATGCTCTGCCCTGCAAGGATGCAGAGGTCACCCCCCCCCAAGGGTGCACAGCATTTCTAAGCAGGGGGTGAGGGTTGGAGACCACAGGCATCCCGTGGAGATAGAGGAGATGAAGAAGGGGGCACCTGAGGTATGGGTGAGCTCACAAGGACCTCAGAAACGGGCCCCACCCTGCCAGGCATTCAGCATCCCTCCTTCCCACTGCCTTCACTGGAAGCTGAAGGAGCTCCGTGCACTACAGGATAGGGGCTGAAGTACACAGCGGAGAGACGCCGAGATGGTGATCGGCCTGGAGCGTTCGAAGGAAGGGGGTGAGGGCTGGGAAAAGGGGGGAATTCTGGTCCCCCTCCTGCAGCACAGTCCCACGGGAATCATTCGGAGGGGAGAGCGCCCCCTAATGGGATATCCCCCCAGGCAGCACAGCACCCCCTAGCACCATGTGAGAGCTCTGGTCAATTGGAGGAGCAATCCGCGAATGAACCACCAGCACCAGGGGAAGAAATTCTTCACTTGTTTAAACAGCGGTACCCGAGGCTGGCACCTGGTTATAACCTCAGACTTTGGGCTTCCATACTGCCACGGTCACAAACCACGGCACCAGCCATCGGCAGGAGGCCCCAAGAGGAGTGCAAGTTCCAGATTCTGTTTTTAAACACAAGACTGAGCTGATCGAACAGTAACAAGCCCTGTCTACACTGATCTCACGCTGCTGGGGAGGGAATGAGGCCAGGCCCGGGCGGCTCTCCTCGCCGGGGGAGAAGTCTCTGCCCATGGCATGGTGCTGGGGGGGCAATCACAGGGGTTGTACCTGGAAGGTCTGCGTCGGGGCTGGGCACTTTTGGAGGATTTTGTAGATTCCTAAAGAAAAGAGAGAAAAGCAAAGTTACCATCGTGGGAGTTCATCGGGGAACGGTGTCTCCGACCACAAAGATCTCAGAGCTAACACCTGCTTCCCCCCCGCCCCCCCGTAGACAATCACTAGCAGCCAGCCTAGTCGGATCTTGAAAATTTCAGCGGTTTTGCCTTTTTGGCCAGTTTAGGGCGGGAAACCATTTCAAAGTCTCCAAAATTTACCCAGGTCGGGAAAACCTGTCCTCTGTCAGCCCTTCCCTGTACTCTGTACACTTCACCTCTGCTCCTCCACCTTCCCTCCCATCCTATAACGTACCCCACCACTCCCCAAACTCCTGATCCCTCTCCTACCCCTCCTCAGCTGTGCTGCAACCCCCTCCCACCCCCTAGCCACACAGCACCCACAGCCAGCCTTGCTCCTGCTGCAAATCACAGAATCATAGAAGATCAGGGTTGGAAGGGACCTCAGGAGGTATCTAGTCCAACCCCCTGCTCAAAGCAGAACCACCCCAACTAAATCATCCCAGCCAGGGCTTTGTCAAGCCGGGCCCTAAAAACCTCTATGGATAGAGATTCCACCACCTCTCTAGGTAACCCATTCCAGTGCTTCACCACCCTCCTAGTGAAAAAGTTTTTCCTAATATCCAACCTAAACCTCCCTCACTGCAACTTGAGACCATTACTCCTTGTTCTGTCATCTGCCACCACTGAGAACAGCTGAGCTCCATCCTCTTTGGAACCCCCCTTCAGGTAGTTGAAGGCTGCTATCAAATCCCCCCTCATTCTTCTCTTCTGCAGACTAAACAATCCCAGTTCCCTCAGCCTCTCCTCATAAGTCATGTGCTCCAGCCCCCTAATCATTTCCGTTGCCCTCCGCTGGGCTCTCTCCAATTTTTCCACATCCTTCTTGTAGTGTGGGACCCAAAACTGGACGCAATACTCCAGATGTGGCCTCACCAGTCCCGAATAGAGGGGAATAATCACTTCCCTCGATCTGCTGGCAATGCTCCTACTAATACAGCCCAATATGCCGTCAGCCTTCTTGGCAACCAATCTGCTCCAGCCAGGCTGCGTCCTGTCTTCTGGTCAGCGCTGAGGTGGGCCACGTAGGGAGCAGAGATCGCTGAGCCTTTCCAGCCATGGCACCTTGCTCTAGCACATCCTTTCCCCAGGTCATCGCTATGGGAAACCTACCCACGCTAGCACCTCCTGCAGGCCAACAACCCGCCCCGCAGCCATTAGCAGGTGCCTTGTATCTAAGATCCAGCCGGCTTCCAAAGGGTTAGGTCCATCTCTCAGTGCCCTATAGTTATTGTGTATAGGCCAGATGAGAGGAAGGGGCATTGAAAACCTCCCCTCTTTTTTTCCTGATATATTTCCAAGTGAAACTCATATGGATCAATTCATGTCATGAGTTTCTCTGGTCTCAGCCACGCCAGTTGCACAGAACTGCGTGTGCCTGTGCTCCAGGCCCCTGACCTGGCACTCTGCAGTCCAGCCCAGCACCTCTGTACTGGACGGGGGGCTAGTCTCCCCCGAGCAGAGGCCAGGGCTGTACCACCAGCAGGACACATTTGCTACCTAACAAGCAAGGCTGCGTGAGCAGCCAGCGTTTGCCTTGGCTTGGCTCGGCAGAGGAAATGTTTGAGTTCTCAAGGCAGGAAGCGTCTATTTACACACGATCCCCAGCCTCAAGAATCCAATCCGCAGCCTGTTTGTTGGGTGACTTCATGACCTCCGCTGAAAAACAGAGTGGGGTTTCCAAAAACCCCTCCGCGCATTCACACCTCATTTGTTTTAGGATCTCCAGCCATCAGCGACAAGTCGTTTAAATGCTCATCTTACTCGAGTAGTCCAATCTGACCTCACGTAGGGCCCCACACCGCTGCGCAAACCACAGACCAGTTCCCTGGCTGGATCCTTCGCGGAGCGATGCCGGGGGACACCAGCTGAGGCTCCGGCCCTAGAGAGCCAAGAGTCGCTACACCCCCTGCGGAAATGCAGCTGCGGCTGGGGTGGAGCGGGGCAGCGGTTTAAAAAAATGCCCGGCACACAACGGCTTAGGACATTAAATGACGAAGGATCCTGTACCAGGGTGAAACTGCAGGAGGAGTTTGGGCTCCTGCCGCCACATTAGTTCAGTACTGACGCCGAGAGAAGAGCGCCACCTACTGGGAGTCCCCAAGAAGACACGTAGTGGGAAGCCCTCGTTAGGTCTGGTCAAGGAGACATCCTTATACCGCACACTGGACAGGCCTGGCTTGAGGACCTACCTAGGACAATTTTTAGAGTGGGGGTTCCTGCTTGGCTGCACACATGCGCGCCCCGCTGGGACATTTTCAGGAGGCTCTGCCCCTTTAAAGGCACCCCTTAGCCACCCCACATCCCCAGGGCCACCGCAGTGGAAAATATCATCCCGAACGGGAGCAAAGGAGACCCGGCATGCTCGCTGCAAATCACCTTTGCAATGGTTTGATCAGCTGTCACTGAGGGAGGGCTCATTCCCCCGCAGGGGCTGTACGCGGACGGGGGCGTGGGGGAGTTTACAGAGGACAGTGTTTGGCCGAAGACGTCAAGGGCAGTTTTACCATGGGCGTCAGGCAGGGCGAGCTGAACATCATGGCCGCGCTCTCCTTCCTTGGCCCCCATCTGCGGGACAGTTACCTTTCAAAGTGAGCCGGATCGGTCAAGCCAGCGCGTCTCCACGCAGCAGAACACCCTCGGTGTTCTCCCTGCTCCCGATCCTTCTGTCCAAGCACCCCCCGTGAGTGACAGCCGAGAGCGCCACCTTTCTCCGCGATAAATGCCTTTTTCACGCCGAGCGACAGCCGTGTCCTCGCCCGCTAGTCCTGAGTCCGCAGCCCCACGCCCCCAAGGAGTTTGCGTCCATTCTCATTAATAGCCTGTGGCTCCCGACATCTCAGCCTCTGGGAGCTCGCTGCGGAGAAAAAGCCACTCGCCGGGCTTCCTCCCAGTCCAAACTCACTCCCTTCGGCTGTGTCTACACTGCAGCTGGCTGCGAGCCTCCCAGGCGGGGCAGACCGCTCCTGCTAGCAGGGCTGAAGCTGGCTTTGCGGCTTGAGCTGGAGCTCCGGCTCGCCCGACTCCCTGTGTCCGGGCTCGGGTGGCTAGACCAGAGGCGCTACCTGCACACCGCTAGCTCAAATCCCGCTAGCACGGGGCGGCCGGCTGCTGGCTGCAATGCGGACGGGATCCAACCAGCACATGGCAGTCAGGCGGACATTGCTGGAAGGACTCTGGGGTTCTAACAGGTGACGGCTGCCTGAATCCTGCAGTGAATCCAGAAGGGGGCTGGGCACGGACCTGGATTTCGGCACGGCCTCCTGCAGAGCACGAGGGGAGAGGGCAGCCGCCAGGCTGTCCTACCTCCCAAACACCCGGCTCGCTCCCCCTCGCGGCACCGAGCCTCAGGTTCCATCAGCATCGCGGCTTTGTCTTCGCAGTGTGGGCGTCCCCTTTTGAAATACAATTATTCTACTTAACTGCCAGGGGGCAAATTTGTCTATGACACCTTCGAGGCTTCAGACGGCGACACCCCGCCCCGGGGTCCAGCCCAAAGACAGACAGACAGCGAGAGCAACAACACGCTTCCAGAAGCAGAGAGCCACTGGATTGCAGGGTGCCTGGAGCCACGACTGGCCTTTGCCCTCCTGCCCCAGGGTATCCTCGGGGCAGCAGGGGTCAGTATATCGGGCGCATCATGCCCCCTGCACCGGGGAATCGCACTCACGCCGGGATCCTCACCTGCGCCGCCCAGCGGCCTCCAGCACGGGGCGCGCACCATACCAGTGCCCCTCCAGCGTGTGCACTTCGCTCCCCTGGCCCATCTCCGCCCCCGCTGCTCCCAGCTGGCAGGAGGGCATCCTAGGAGCCCGAGCAGGAATCAGCGAGCCGGGAGCGCCAGTCCGCTGTGCTAACCGCCGGACAACAGCGCCCGCCAGGGCTAGGACCGACATGCCCTCTGAGTTTGGGCCAGGCTGGGCGCGTTCGGAGGGAGGAATCACAGGGCCTCGAAGCAGGTCAACAGCACACTTTCACTGCTGCCCGCTCTGTACCCTTCCATGAAGGAAATGAGCCCGGACAGCCCCCGGGAAACCTCTTGCGCTGGCCCCCGCCAGGGCCTGTCAGAGCGTCTCCTGCTCCATCGCCCTCCTACTCCGTCTTTCCCCACTGGGGAGGCGACAAGCCCATTTCTAACCGCACCCTGGGGTGCGTAAACCCCAGGGCACAGCCGAGCAGCGCAGGAACGCGGCACCTCGCTGCCCTCCCACCTCCGCCTCGGCGCCTTCACCCCTCGGCCCATGGATTTACCTTGGACCAGGTGAGGCTCCTGGTAATCCACCTCCAAGGCATGGCCGCTGCTCTCCCCCAAGACCCCCGGGGCGGTTACTCCGAGCTGCAGCCCCCGGCAGAGCTGGGTCACGGCGTGCGGGTTACTGAACGGGCACGAGGCTGGCACAGGCTCCGCGCTTAGTCCTTCTGCCTTTAGATCTGGGCTCTGAGCTCCACCGTCCTTTCCCCTCTGCAGCGCGGCAGGCTCACCACAAGCGCGCGCCAGGTCCGGGAGCCGCCTCCGCCCCACTCCTCCGGCCCCCTCCCGCCCGGAGGAAGAATCAGGCCGCTATCAGCTGATAGCAATAAGAACAGGCCAGGCTAATGTTATTAAGGGCTTCTGATGCGCAGCAGCCAGTATCCGAGCTGTGGGGAGGGAGAAGCCACAAAAGATCCTTTCACATGCGACAGGCTGGGGCGATCCCTGCCTCGTGGGGCTGGCTCCACATCAGTGAGACCGGACCCCACCCACTGCCCATTCACCTAGCGCAGCACTGAGCAAACAGCACGGGCAGGGCCAAACCCCCGGCTCCATCTAGCTCAGGATCCCGTCTCTGAGCGGAGCAGCCCCGGGGGAGGAAGAACACGGCAGTACAAGGCAGGGCAGGATCTGCCCCACAGTAGGTCCTGGTTTGCACCCCGTAGCATGAGGTTTAATAGCCTTTCCCCACCTGATAGCCAGTGAAACGTCCAGACCTCGTGTGTTACACAGAACTCCCAGCTGGGCCTCTCTATTTTCCAGACACTTTCTCCTCCAGCACCTTCCTGAGGGTGTAGATAACCAGATCCTGGTCCCGGGTCCAACGCGTAACGATCGGCAGTACTCCCAGCAAGCGAACCGGTGTCCAGGCTCCTGCAGGTTTCCTGGCAGAAGAGAGTTTTCAGGGGGCCGGGGAAAATCTGGGGTTGCAATTGTCTTCGTGCTGGTGTCACAAACCAGCCTCTGGCCCAAAGCTACTGCTCTGGTCTCCCATCATGCCTTGCCCCGGGCGTCGCTTTGTGCCGACAGACAGAACTCCTCAGCGTGCCAGGTGCTGCCAGGTGACCAGCCTCTCCATGAAGACCGCGAAATGCCAGCTCCTCCTCCGGAGGCTGCCGCAGATGCACTGGGTGGGGACCCCGGGGGGAAGAGGAGTCACACCTGTTTCACTTCACTTCTAAGTGAAGAGGAGGCAAGTGAAGCTGCAAATGAGCAGCCAAGGGGTGGAGCTTTTGGGGGGCTGCAGCCAACCGCCACCCGTCTGACATCAATCTGCACCGGCTCCTTTCACTCCCTGCAGAATAGACTCTTCGTGTAAATTGAACGAACACCGTGGCTCCGGCAGACCCCTGGCCAAGTCACACTCCAGATATGGGGCCTGGCTGGATTGCCCTGCAGAGGGGCTCTGCCTAGCTGCAGAGCCGGAAGGGGAGGCATTAAGGTGCATCGACAGTGCGGGGCAGGGGAAGCCTGCACTGAACCTGCCAGCTAAAGTCAGGGGGAAATGATGTAACGACAGCCCCTAGCTCTAACACCGTGCTTTTCAACAGTCGCTCTCAAAGGAGGGCTCATCATCCCCATCTGACACAGAGGGAAACTGAGGCACAGAGCGGGGAAGCGACTTGCCCAAGGTCACGCAGCAGGCCAATGGCAGAGCGAGGTCTCATGAGTCCCAGTGCAGTGCTCTAGCCCCTCGGCCAAACTGCCTCCCTAAGGTAATGAACCCGAGACCACAAGCCGGCAGCCGGGATCAAACCTGAGACCTTCAGCACCAAAAACACAATCCTCTACTGCCTGAGCTAAAGGAAAGCTCTCCTAGCCGTAAGCAGCCAGCTCTTGTAGTGCGGGAGCCAGCCACCCGGGGGCGACACAGGCACACATGCTGACTGCATTGAAATGACCTTTTCTTGTATTGATTCACTGAGAAATGATCCGGCTGGCCACGATTCATGGGATTAAACGTTGCCGCCAGCTGCGATTCACAGACGGCTCCCCCTGCTCCCCTTCCGCAGACGGGATCGCAAGTGACCCCTGAAGGGAGAGGGGAGCCAGGTCTGGCAATTAACGAAACCCCAGGCTGTTTGCATTATGCTAGCCACGCCCCAGAGCATTTACCCTAGCAGGGGTGGCAAGCGAGCGCAGGGAAGCGCTGGGTGTTGGCAGGGAAGAGAGGACAGATAATTCTCTTGAAACCGATAACGAACCCAAGTTCTAATATCCCCCTAAACACACTGATCAGCAACAGCTTCAGCAAAGCAACCACATGAACGCCCTGAGCCAGGGAGACCAGCCTTGTGGCAGGGACCTGGGAACTCGGGGTTCAGTTCCCAGCTCTGCCACCAACTCTCTGTTTGACCTTGGCCATGTCACTTTGCCTCAACTGCCCATCTGTGAAATGGGGCCAATAAACCTTCTGTGGCCTAATTGGCCTGGAAGATCTTTGGGGCAGAGGCTTTTACTCTGTGTCTGGGCAGTGCCTGGCACCATGGGGCCTCCCGGTGCTACTGCAACCCCACCCCTTGGCAGCTTCTGCTGCCACTAACGATGCCCCCTATGGAATGGTGGCGCAGGTCAGATGCAAATTTCAATTGCACAGCCCCAGGCATTGCTGCTGCCTCGTGGCCATAAACAGCCCTTAATCCTACAGTCAGACGCCCGCAAGGATGTTTACAGCTGCTCACGTAATGGAAAAAAACCCGGTGCCAACAAAGGGCTGTTTTGCTGCTGCAAACAGAAGCCTTGTTCAGTTTAATTCCACATGATTTAGCTCTAGTTAATTTGTTTGGGCTGGATCGTTAGGCCCACAGCAGCGGAGCCAGGTTCCAACGCACTCTCGTCTGGGGAGATGGGGGTATAGGCTCATGGTGCTGGGAGAACCACAGAAGATTGGATGGGTCTATTTAGAGAGAACTTCAGTAGCAGCTTATGCAAGGTGATCATCTCCCAGGAGATTCCTAGTGCTGGCCAGACTCCATAGAACCTCCAGCGTGGGTCTTCAGCCAGGCAACTGCCCCTCCCACCTGGCCCCCAGGATGCAGCGGGAATTAAAATGATCAGCCCTTTCTCGGCTCTGCAGAAATGCTCCCAGACGCCTTCCAGATCCGTGAGAAAGCTGAAATCAGCTCTCTGGTTTCCAAAGCCAGTTGGCCCAGCCGCGGTGCTTGCGGCACGGCCGTTCAGCTCAATTCACAGCAGGTGCACAACCCGCGGCTTATTCGAGGGGACAGTTTCTGATTTCAGCTCAGGAAGAAGACCTCAAATCTAGCATGTCATGCACCAGTTGCAGGTCGTGAATTGTCGCCCTCTAGTGGCACTTCTCAGTATAGTACTTCTCAGGACAGGAAATTGCTCGATGGACTATACTCCCCAGGCTCCTTACCAGGAAGCGGGCCGAATCTCCAGGCCTCCGTCTTCCCTTGCTAACAAAATAAATCCCGCATGGGGGCAACACACCACAACGGGTGTCGTTAAACCGATGCAGGGAGAAGAACAGGAGTCCCTTCAGCCATCAGAGACTCGGTCGCCTCGGACTCCGGATCCCGCCCTTCGGCCCGATCCCTAGCATCGATATGAACGCGCGAAGGCATGTCACTTACTGTGGCGTCTACATGTTTGGCGGTGCTCTCCCCGTTGGACGGCTGTGGAAAGAGAGAGAGAGAGAGGAGAGGGTTAAGGTTCCACCCACGGCAAAAGTGCCTCTGACTCTTTTTCCACACTTCCCAGGACAGGCTAAACTATCCCATTTCCTTCCCCGCTCCGGGCTCGAAGGAAAGCATCACAGGCCAGCAATCCCTGGAATCCTGACCATGGCTCTGAACGGGTGGGATGGGATTTCACAGAGCAGCGCCAACGCTCCGAGCTACGGGCGAAAATTCCAGCTCCAGGAGACATACAAGCACCAGCTCTGATCGTGCTAGCATGCTAAAAATAGCGGAAGAGCTGCGGTGGGAGGGGCTAGGCATCTGAGTCCGGGCCCGTGTCTCGCATGAGACCATCCTCGGGGCAGCTTGCCCCGGACACCACCATGGCTATCCTCTGGTTAAAGCACGCTAGCTAGCGCGGGTATGTCTCCTGCAGCGGGAAGTCACACCCCCAGCTTGAAGGGTCGCCGGGCCTGGGACTTAAGGCTCATGGTCCCCGCTCCACAAAGAACACCAACGCCAACTTCACGCCTTCGCAAAGCACGAGTCGGGCCCCGACATCGTGAGATTGCCTTCAAAATCATGGGATCGCTACAAACGGTGGGTGCTTTTTTCCCTGCGGTCTGGTGGCTGAACTTTCAGCTCATGCTCAGGTCACGTTTACAAGCTTGTCTCAACCACCAGGTCCAAAAAAATGACTTTAAATACAAAAAAGGAGCGCAGAGATTCTCTCTGATGCCAGCGTCCGGGGTCTTAAACACACCGAATATTGGGAGGCCGTGCTAACAGTCACAAAAGCTGGCCATGCTGAGTTCAGCGCCTGCTTCGCGTTCAACGAGCGATGGGACATCAGCATGTTCTTAACGTTTAACGTCTGCTTCCATCACGGGCGCTGGCTTTTATTTTTCCCCGATGGGTGCTCCTCCCCTGCTCTGCCCCGAGGCCCCATCCCCACTCTGCCCCTTCCCCCGAGGCCCCGCCCTCGCTCTGCCTCTTCCTGTCCCGCCCCCTCCCCAAGGCTCCGCCCTTGCGCCACCTCTTCCTGCCCCTGCTCCGCCCCTCCCCCAAGGCCCACCAATCACCCGCCGCTCGCTCCTTTCCCCCCTCCCCAAGCGCCTCCCAGCAGTCACCCAACAGCTGAGCACCCCTTATTTTTTTCTCCATGGGTGCTTGAGCCGCAGAGCACCCACCGAGTCAGCACCCATGCTTTGCTGCATAGTGATTGATCAGGTCTAGCCGGGGAAACAACGAGTTAACGTTATTTACAGCAGGGAGCTTGTATTTACTGCCAGAAAGGTCATCTGGTGTCTAAAACCTCCTGGAGTTGACCAAACCCAGTGTTAATTGAGACAATGTGCATATATGTAAATTCAGGTGGGGAAAAGCCATATATGGTCCGTATAGCTCTCATTGTAAAACGCTGGGATCTTTCACAGTGACCACTTCTCCTTTTACTGCGGAGAGATTTTACCAGGTCTGACAGCTGCCAGTGTGAAGAGATAAAGGAGTGAAAATTGACAGGTAGATAAGAGGATAATTAACAAACCGAGCCTGGTCTTGGAGCTGGGTTTGTATATGTCCTGGCCAGGGTCTGAATGGGAAAGAGGACCCCGTATATGCCGGGACAGGGACCGGTTATTTTATAGAGTGGCCCTATATCAATTTATAATAAATGGAGATGTCCTATCTCCTAGAACTGGAAGGGACCCTGAAAGGTCATGGAGTCCAGCCCCCTGCCTTCACTAGCAGGACCAAGTACTGATTTTTGCCCCAGATCCCTAAGTGGCCCCCTCAAGGATTGAGCTCACAACCCTGGGTTTAGCAAGCCAATGCTCAAACCACTGAGCTATCCCTCACGCCTGGGAGGGATAAATACTCAATAAATACTAACAAATGAGAAGTCACTTTTCTGCCGCGATGCCCGAGCTGGGGTATCACAATAGGCTGCACTCCCAGCTGCCCGCCGGCCCTGAGAAGAGCATAAATAAGGACAGCCAGCGGGGGAGAACTCCCTATGTCTTTCACGCTCCTCGGAACCCACCCATGCCCCCTGCTGCCAACTGGCGCCCTGCTGCTGGGATGGTGCCAAACTGGTGTGGCCATGTGATGAATGAAGGGTGTGAGCATAGCTTGACATGACAAACATGGCTGAAGGGCAGCCGAGGATCCTAGGAGCAGGGTCCCTTTACGCAGAAGCAGATTTGGCGAAGAACGGGCAACGCCTGCGTGTGCGATCGATATTGAGCCTATGGGTCGGCAAATAGGGGCCCGTGCAAAAGTAAATATCACATGTATAAAGTTCCAGCCAGGAGCACAGGCCGACCTGGTTATAGTGACCTTACAGCAGGAACGTCACGCAGGGAAATAGAGTGAACGATTGATGAGTGAGTCAACGTAGGGTGATCTTCCTATGGTACCACCACCCCCAGCCCCATCTAAACCACTAATTAGGTACAATTAGTAGCCACACGCCCACTGGGCATGTTTTTAAGACATGTGAGTCCTCTGAGGAAAGAGTATAAAAATCATGCAAAGTAAATTACTGTGGTTGGGATTCCTTAATTGATGCTTGAAGAAGCAACACTGCTAGACAGAGTAGCCAAACCTCTGCTCCGTGGGCTCGCATAGGACTGTGACCAGAGGGGTCTCAAGGCAACCAAGGCCTTCCCTCGTGGGAATCCGAGACAGACCAGAGGGCTGAGAAGAACAGACCAGGAGGGAAGAAATTGGTAACCACCTCCTCTGTTTGCCAAGCAGGAACTGCGTGAGGCTAGCGCAGGGCCTGTTTGTGAAAGAGAGGCTCGTTAAGAGGAATGTATCGCTCTTACCGTACAGCTCTTAATGTCTAACGTAGGAGTTATGTGCTTAATATACCCCTTTACCGCTTGTGTAATTCCTTCTCACTAAACGGCTGTGTATTGCAGATAATCACTGTGGACCTTTTTCACTGGTATGCCAGTAATCGGCTGCACCGGGAGCCAGGAAACGTCCATTTCAGGGGCAGTAGCCCCTGTTGTCAACACCTGCCACCAGCCCCGGCCTACCACCGTTTAGCTCGGGACACACAGACAAGCGCCGCCACAGGGTGCGTATTGGTCCCTGCAGCTTGGAGCATCGTTAGGTCGCTCGGCGCCTCCCAGACTCGCAGTCCTTCCCATTTTACCCCATGAATGGCCTGAGGAATGGACAGTTATTTACCAGCACAGAGCTGGCCAAGGGCTGTGCGGCAGAGCCACCCTCAACTGAGAGGCTGGCGGGAGGATCTGAGACCCGGCTGGGACTGGTCCTAAATCAGTTCATGCTGAGGACCGGGCATGGCCACCGCCCGCGGATCGGAATGTTCCACACAAGACACTACGGGCTGGTGGTTCCAACCCTGCTTGGATCGTCTGCTTAATGAGTCAAGGCTCCAAAGCAGCAGGGAGTGAGCCGGTCGGCATGGATCTGGGAAGGCAACGCCTCCAGGGAGATTCAGCAATGTTCCCCCTTCCAGCTGGCTCCAGGAGAGCAGGCAGCAAAACGATTCCCCGTCCACCCCCATCGCTCCCCGAGAGGTGGCTCGCAAGGCTCAGAAGGAGGCCACCCAGCAGAAGCAGCCTCCAGAACCCGGCGTTCAACGCGGCTCCAAGAATCAAGACAGCGGCACTGAGCACCGGTGCGAACCGATAGCCACGTAGCAGCCTGACAAGTCTCTGAGATCAGGACGCAGGCGAGACGCGGAGGCAGCCGGGGCTGTGGAAGGATGGATGGAATCCTCACCCAACCAGGAACAAGCCCCTGGAGATGTAACGCCACCCTGTCTCCTGCAAACTTGACAATGGAGGAGGGGCTGCAGGGTCCTGCCTCTTGGTTGCCGAATTCCAGCTAGGACGGCAAGTGGTAGGGGAAGGCATTAGTGAGGTCGCTCTGCTCTTGGGTTAAGCGGGATCTCTCATTCTGGCGGTTTCCAGGGTCCATTCCCAGGAGGCAGGAGGGACAAATGCAACAGCCCCTTAAGGAACCGTTTGAGAACAGGGTACGCGAAAAGAGAGACTTCCGGCAGCAAAGCAGCCACGGCCTCCTGGCGCACCTGCGCCAGGGAGAAGCCAAGCCTCCTTCGGAGAGCAGGAATCCTGGGACGAGAGGAACTGGGCAAACCTGAGCTGCCGCATTCCTGCTAGGAGACGGAGCAGCAAAACCGTTCCCCTTCCGCACAGAATATCCCCCAACAGGTGGCTCACGAGACCTGCCTCATCTCGTCCGAGCAGCCACGCTCCTGCCTGAGGATGGTCTCCAGACACCAGCTGCTGGGGAAAGGCTGGGGGAGGTGGGGGGAGTACTGTACCCAGCCCCCCGTGCTGGCCAATGGGGCTCTGTCCGTTTCCACCAGCATCTTCGCCAGGCCAGTGCGGGGCTTCTCAAGACCAGCCCTCTGAGGGCTCTCCCCTGCTGCTAGCTATTGTAGAGTTTGACACGTGCCCATCCCCCTGGCATCTAGGCTCTTGGCAGCAGTAACGTGGAGGTCTCAGGGCGGGAGAGGGAAGCGATGGCGACTTAACCAAGGATCGATGAGCTTGTCTGAGTGAAGCTGCGATTCTTCTGGCAGATCCCCCAGAGCGGTGATCCCCGGCCCTGAGCTTTCAGCTGTTACTGCTGGTTGCAAATCTCCCGCCGACCACGGGCCTAATTCTGAGCAGGGCTCAGCACCCCGGCTCCCATGGAAATCCCATGGAACTGGGCGCCTGGGAAGCTTGAGGCAGTGCGATGGGAACTCAGCACCTCTCCGGATCAGCTCCGTTCGGCCCGAGGCCTTCGTGGCTGTCTCTAGCTCCGGCTTCTCTCAGCTAAGCCGACGCGGGTGAGCTGAACAGGGCAGGCCGGGGCCAATCGGAGAGGGCGGCACCTCCGCGGACGGCGAGCGTGACTGGTGGCCCCGGCATATCTGGGCAGAGGTGCACGCCGGGGAGGCCCAGGTGGAGACCCTGGTCTATTTCAGCGCTGCCAGTGTCGGGAGATGC